AATTAAATGTCTTTAAAAAAAATTAATAATAAAAATAATTTAATGGTTATATTACTGTTTAACACAACGGTCATTTTTTAAAAAAAAATTTACATCAATCTTCCGAACTTCTATAAATATCCCCTATTTTTCAAAATAAATCTCGCAAACAATTCTCTCTCTTAAACTCTCAATCTCTCTCAACTCCTAATTAATTTTGAAATATCATCCCTAAGTGGCAATTACAATTGTGCAACAAGAAACTTTTATCAGAAGAAGCTAATTTTTGTATCACATTTGCCAGTCGATAACATTAATTAGTTTAATTAAATTTATTAGTTACTCTTTTTTTTTCAATAATTATTTCTGAACATATATTAATTATTTTTTTTTACTCATTATTTAAATTAATTGTTAGTTCTTATATATTATTTTACTTATATTACTATGGATCCTAATATTCTTAATGTTTATATCGATGTTGATACATATACTACACAATATGAATCTATTGATTCTTCTTCTAATATCCCTCTTTCAACAGTTGTATCATAATCAAGGGGCACAACTAGTAGTGTTTGGGAATATTTTGAAAAAATATCTATAAATAATCCAAAGATCATATGCATGCGCTTACGAGAAAACAAAATTATAGTGAAAATGATAGAATTCAAAATGATTTGGATAACATATCATCGGACAATGCCACTGAAATGTCTGTCTCCTTTGATAATTAATCAACAATTTATTTTTTACTATTTCATTTCATTTTTTTTTTTTTTGTATTAGATTATTGAGGTAGAGTATAATGCAAATGATTGGTAGGCTAATAGGTGTCGACCTAGTTGGGATGTACTTAACCTATAGTAATGCAATTGCTTTACTACCATCAATAATCTACACCTATTTTATTTGATGATATAAATTTTTATAATATTTTATTTCATTTTGAAATAAAAATTATTTATTCAATAAATGTTAACTAAAATATTCTAGTATAATTTTTATTTTATTTTTTATCCCTAATAAATAATTTACATAGATGATGTATTTATCATTTATTTTTTCAAAAAAAAAGGCTTGGGTTTGGACCCTACTTTTCGGCCCATGGGCCGGGCCAACCTAACATATCAAAAAAGCGAGAGCCCACAAAGCCCGCTTAGGTTGACTCAAGCTCGAGCCCAAATGGGTCGGGCCGGGCCAGGTCATTATTACATCCCTAAGTGTAGTGTATGGTAAGTCCACTTATCACTGCCACCACCAGAGAGCATTACATGTGTAACAATCCAGATTTTTAATTATACTATAGAATTTATACTAATATTATTTAATCTCAGTTCGGAAAATATAAAATTTATTATATATTATTATGTGTAATTTTATAAAATAATATAATTATTAAAAGTTTAGGGGTTAAAATATAAATAATAATAATATAGATAATATAAATAATAATAATAATGGGTGTGGTACTAAAATAAATAATTAATTTCTGTTAGTATAAGATAAAGTGTAATTTAATTAGAATTAAATTATTTATGTAATTATATAAAAATATTAGGTCAAAGGATAATTATTTTAAATATTTGTTTAGGATAAGATTGAATTTATATATATTAATGGCGAATCTGAAGAGAGACGCGTGGCTGGACACCTGTTGGTTAGGGATTGGGTTTCGTCCCTATAATTAGGACGACTGATCAACCGGGAGAAGAAGAAACAGAAAAGAAAAGAGAGAAAGAAAAGAAGAAAGAAAAGAAGAAAGAAAGAAAAGAAAGAGAGGAAAAGAAGAGAGAAATAGTGGAAAGTGAAAGGTTTTTGATAGAGGAAAGAAAGAGTAAAGTATTAAAGTTAAGGTGAGTTATATTATATTTTGAGTTATTAAAATATATTTTACGTATGTTTTGACTTATTAAAATCTATTTTATAAAAGTTATGTTTTATTAGTAAATTTATAAAAGTTATATTTTATAAAGATTTCAGTTACGTGGTTTTATTTCTGAACTTTATTTGCTTAAACGGAAATCTATGGATGTGTTTGTTTATATTTTAAAGAATATTTGGCTATAACCTTATATGAAAATATGTTTTGTAAGTACTACCACAGGAGTCCCATGCCTTGGGATATGTTTTGTAAGTACTACCACAGGAGTCTCATGCCTTGGGGACTTAAATAACCATTGGCTTAGTGAGTCCCATACCTTGGGGGACTTAAATAACCATGGGCTTAGTGATTGACCACTTTGTGGTCCAGTATTTGTCGTGGATCCATTGACCAGTGTAGTGCTTGGCACTTAGTGATGTACTGTAGTTATGGTTGTATAGTGATTTTCGTATTATATGTTAAATGATCTGAACTATATATCAAATGATTTTTGTATTATATGTATCAAGCTCTTTTTGGCCTAACTAATTATCCATGGTGAATTTTATGCCTTATACTCTTAGTATAATATTTCTCACTCTACCATGAGCTTATAGTGTTTTACCACTTTCAGGTGACATGTCAGGACCAGCGTGTGGGGTAGGCACCAAGCACTTTTATTAATGTATTTTTTTGTAAATATCGGCCTTTTTGATCAATACATTTTGTAATAAAAATAGAAGCTCAAATGATTATTTTAGTACCCTTACTTAAATATTTCTTCCGTTTGCGTTTATTAATTTGTTTACAGTTTTGGCCGGAGATAACTTCGGTTACTGGCCATCACGATGCTTAACCCTTGGGTACGGGGAGTGGGTCGTGACAAATTAATAAACGCAAGCGGAAGAAATATTTAAATAAAGGTACTAAAATAATCATTGGAGTTTCTATTTTTATTATAAAATGTATTGACCAAAAAGGCCGATATTTACAAAAAAATACATTAATAAAAGTGCTTGGTGCCTACCCAACACGCTGGTCCTGACATGTCACCTTTGTCACCTGAAAGTGGTAAAACACTATAAGCTCATGGCAGAGTGAGAAATATTATACTAAGAGTATAAGGCATAAAATTCACCATGGATAATTAGTTAGACCAAAAAGAGCTTGATACATATAATACAAAAATCATTTGATATATACTTCAGATCATTTAACATATAATACGAAAATCACTATACAACCAGAACCACGGTACATCACTAAGTGCCAAGCACTACACTGGTCAATGGATCCACGACAAATACTGGACCACAAAGTGGTCAATCACTAAGCTCATGGTTATTTAAATCCCCCAAGGCATGGGACTCACTAAGCCAATGGTTATTTAAGTCCCCCAAGGTATGGGACCACAAAGTGGTCAATCACTAAGCTCATGGTTATTTAAATCCCCCAAGGCATGGGACTCACTAAGCCAATGGTTATTTAAGTCCCCCAAGGCATGAGACTCCCGTGGTAGTACTTACAAAAACATATTTTCATATAAAGTTATAGCCAAATATTCTTTAAAATATAAACAAACGCATCCATGAATTTCCTTTTAAGCAAATAGGGTTCAGAAATAAAAAATCTTTATAAAATATAACTTTTATAAATTTACTAATAAAACATAACTTTTATAAAATAAATTTTGATAAGTCAAAACATACGTAAAATATATTTTGATAACTCAAATTATAATATAACTCACTTTAACTTAATACCTTACTCTTTTTTTCCATTATCAAAAACGCCGTCACTTTCCACTATTTCTCTCTTCTTTTCATCTCTTTCTTTTCTTTCTTTCTTCTTTTCTTTCTCTCTTTTCTTTTCTTTTCTGTTTCTTCTTTTCTTTTCTTTTCTGTTTCTTCTTCTCCAGGTTGATCAATCGTCCTAATTATAGGGACGAAACCCAATCCCTAACCAACAGGTGTCCAGCCACGCGTCTCTCTCCAGATTCGCCATTAATATATATTGATTCAATCTTACCCTAAATAAATATTTAAGATAATTACCTTTTGACCTAATATTTTTATATAATTATATAAATAATTTAATTCTAATTAAATTACACTTTATCTTATACTAACAGAAATTAATTATTTATTTTAGTACCACACCCATTATTATTATTATTTATATTATCTATATTATTATTATTTATATTTTAACCCCTAAACTTTTAATAATTATATTATTTTATAAAATTACACATAATAATATGTAATAAATTATATATTTTTCAAACTGAGATTAAATAATATTAGTATAAATTCTACAGAATAATTAAAAATCTGGATTGTTACAATCTTCTCTCCTTTTAAAATTTCGTTCTCTAAATTTGTCATATATAAGCTATCCGCTGCGCACTCTGATAAATATATATTAGATGATTAATTTGATAGAAAATAGTACCTCAAAAAAATTTTTTACCAAAAACAACTCACTGTCTAGCTGTCAAAAATTGATTTGAGCCAAAATGAGAAATAATGGGTGACTTTAAAAACTTTTCACTCGTTTTGTTTACGATAAAAATAAATAAAAATGAAAACACAATGACAGAATTATATGCAAGAATTGAAAATTTTGAGATGAACTTTTCATTGATGGAAAATAGTTTCAAAATTAATATCTTTATAATTAGAACCCACTTTTAAAAACATAAATTTTTTTTTTTGAATACTGAACTGAAAATTAATTGTATTTAATTATATTATAATTTTGGTGGGTGCTTGAGCTCGACATCCTTCTTTTCTTGTCCTACTTTTACTATAACAAACATAAATTATATCTAATATCCTTCACAAATTAGACACACTAAAAAAAAAATTATTATATATATAATCATATAAAATTATAATATAATTAAATCGACGAACAAAATATAATAATTTGGTACTAATTACCCGTTATCCCAGGTCTTAAATGTGCGCGTGTTCTATGCTTCAATGATGATTTTTTTTTCTTAAAAAGACCATTGCTCTGATACCATTTGTCACGACCCGCTTCCCGTACCCAAGGGTTAAGCATCGTGATGGCCAGTAACCGAGGTTACCTCCGGCCAAAACTTTAAACAAATTAATAAACGCAAGCGGAAGAAATATTTAAATAAATATACTAAAATAATCATTGGAGCTTCTATTTTTATTACAAAATGTATTGACCAAAAAGGCCGATATTTACAAAAAAATACATTAATAAAAGTGCTTGGTGTCTACTCCACACTCTGGTCCTGACATGTCACCTGAAAGTGGTAAAACACTATAAGCTCATGGCAAAGTGAGAAATATTATACTAAGAGTGTAAGGCATAAAATTCACCATGGATAATTAGTTAGGCCAAAAAGAGCTTGATACATATAATACAAAAATCATTTGATATATACTTCAGATCATTTAACATATAATACGAAAATCACTATACAACCATAACCACGGTACATCACTAAGTGCCAAGCACTACACTGGTCAATGGATCCACGATAAACACTGGACCACAAAGTGGTGAATCACTAAGCTCATGGTTATTTAAGTCTCCCAATGCATGGGACTCACTAAGCCAATGGTTATTTAAGTCCCCAAGACATGGGACTCCCGTTGTGGTACTTACAAAACATATTTTCATATAAGGTTATAGCCAAATATTCTTTAAAATATAAACAAACACATTCATGAGTTTCCTTTTAAGCAAATAGGGTTCAGAAATAAAATCACGTAACTGAAATTTTTATAAAATATAACTTTTATAAATTTACTAATAAAACATAACTTTTATAAAATAAATTTTGATAAGTCAAAATATACCTAAAATACATTTTGACGCTTTCACTTTCCACTATTTCTCTCTTCTTTTCCTCTCTTTCTTTTCTTTCTCTATTTTTCTTTCTGTTTCTTCTTCTCCAGGTTGATCAATCGTCCTAATTATAGGGACGAAACCCAATCCCTAACCAACAGGTGTCCAGCCACGCGTCTCTCTCCAGATTCGCCATTAATATATATAGATTCAATCTTATCCTAAATAAATATTTAAGATAATTACCCTTTGACCTAATATTTTTATATAATTATATAAATAATTTAATTCTAATTAAATTACACTTTATCTTATACTAACAAAAATTAATTATTTATTTTAGTACCACACCCATTATTTTTATTATTTATATTATCTATATTATTATTATTTATATTTTAACCCCTAAACTTTTAATAATTATATTATTTTATAAAATTACACATAATAATATATAATAAATTATATATTTTCCGAACTGAGATTAAATAATATTAGTATAAATTCTATAGCATAATTAAAAATCTGGGTTGTTACAACATGTACGACAAATTAGTGGAAACGTAGGCAGAACATATCATTATCACATATTTATATATGTAAGAATCGTTTAGTTGTTTGAGATTTATCTTCTTCTTCTTCTTTGTCTTTTCATTTTAAATAATTTATTAATGGTTGCCTATATTTTGAGTGAAAGTTTTTTCGTAATTATGTAAATATTCTTAGTCAATTATACAACAGGTTTTTTTCGTAATTACGCGAATATTCTTGGTCAATTATGAAATATAAATCTTTTATTTTTTAACAAATTACAAATACACTCATAAGGTTTGTTTAAAACAAGAATTGGTCCTATAATACTAGAACTCACAATTACGTTTGTTATAAATTTTCATTTAACACAATATTGAGGGGGGAAAAAAAAACAATTCTCCTATGTAATAATAAATTATCAAAATTGTTTATTGAAAATTACTTTTTGTCATGACCCAAACCCGCCCCTATATGTTTAGCGTCATAACCAGCCAGTAATCTGAGATTACCAAAGGCCTTCCTGTACAATCATAAATAATCGGGGCTAGCAGAAGCAATATGCAAAAACACCAATAGTCCAATGAGTTGTGCATCTATATGAACAAATATTTACATGCAAAAACGTTAATTTACCCGCATTCAATACATAACTTATAACTTAACATCATATACATAATATATGCACACAATAAAAGTTTATTTCATGATCAAAAGCTTGACAATGGCCTTCTAGGCCTAGCCTCAACTCTAAGGCACTCAAAACCATGCGGTAGGCTTCAAAACGGTGACTCGACTAAAGACTCCTTCTAGACTTATTCTCCAGAACGCTCACCTATATATATATATATATGAACAGTGAGGTAAAACCCAGTGAATAACATTAAAGTAAAGGGGTTAGTGAACGAATTCCAAATATATCATATCCGTAAAACAAATCATGACACAATCATTCATATCAGTCTCATATCAGAACATAACATAATGGTACATCTCACAGAACATATCACATAACGTCTTTCGACTAGAGTAATCGGTTCCGGATACCGATTAAACACATATCACCACAATGAAGTGGCTAACGAGATCTAGTATCACATATATGTCATGGACCCGCATTTACATGTCGTTCCCCATGACTTGGGACTATCTGTGGATGCTATAATAGATTCACAAATAGGACATTTGTTCACATAATCAAGACATCATTTCAAGAAACCATAGCTTATCGATAACAATTAAAACATAATTTATATCAATATATCTTTACAGAAATGTTACTCACAGTGGGCTTTCAGAACGGTTGGTCAAGCAGTCCTTGACTCGTAACCTATAATCACAAATATGCATAGCACGATACACAATCATCTTAAACGTATTTAGTTCACTTAAGCTTTTAAATATAGATGACTAGAATTAGGAATTAATTAGATCATTAATTTCCTTTAACCTCTAATTAAAACATGTTTAGTTATGTATTAACCAAACTAATTAAATATAAATAATTTAATCATATACAAACTCTTATTAAGTTCACTAATTTCACAATTAAACTTAAATTAGGTTCATACACATTAAATTATAATTATTCAGTCATGTTTAAATTACTGAATCAGAAACTCATAAATATGCACATTTTGCAATTTCAACTCTATTTTCAAGCAAATCAAGGCCCAAATAATTAATCTTCACATTTATTTACATAATTTTAAGCCTAACTCAATTTCAATTAAATTTAATTAATTGTCAATTAAGGCTTAATTTGACTACGTCTAATTCTATGAACCTAAATTAGATGCTTAATTGAATTCTTATAAGGCTCTAAATATCAAATTAAACCCATTCTCTATTTTTGAAACTCAATTTCATGAAATATCCATTTTCCTGAACCCAAGCTCTAACTCATGCTTAATCTCTCCTTAAACTCCATGAATCATGTTTGAAAATAAGTTTAGAATTATTGTTCTCTGGAAAATATGTCATGCATGTAAGGATTATGAACTAATTCATTCAATTCTTCCATATATATATATATATATACATGCGTGCCTTAATCCTTAGCAATATGAGCAAAACCTTCATTTGATCATCAATTCTTCTAAATTTCAGCCTTAATCTTTAAAGATGTTGCATGTGTAAATCTCAATTTCAAGAAATTAGAGAGAGAATACTTACCTTACTTGTTGAATTATGAGAACTCAAGGCACTCTTCTACCTAAGTTCTTCTTTTCCTCCTGTTGGTGTTCTTTTCTTTCCTCTCTTCTACTCTTTGAACTCTCCAGCACAATCTCTCCCTCTGTCTCTACGTGTATAACTTGTATGACACCCAACAAGACCCACTAAACTCTCTTTTTCTTTTCTATTCAATTTATGGCCACACACAAATCCTTTTGATTCTACCTATTTTGGGTTTAATTAAAACAAAAATTAGGAATTATATGAATTCACTCAAATTAATTCAATCCTCATCCTTATAATCTTAATTACACTAAATTAAATTATACTAATATATGTTAAGCTCCAACTCCTATTTAATTATTTAATTCCAACCTATTAAAATTGACGAATAAGATGGAATCAATTTTTAATTAAACTTCCTGGATAACTCTAAAAATTTCAATTAGCATATCCTTGTTATAGCGATCCCGGTTATCCCTTTTCTGTTATATTGTTTTCCGGACGCGGTTTCGTGGAGTTGGTAGTTGTACCTATCGTGTTGTCAACCTTTAAACTCTTTTGTTTGAGTTTTAGAATGTGTTGGGCTTGGTTGGTATAGGTTGGTAGAGCTTTAGCTCCCATTGTTGTTGCCCAGTTTTTGAATGGTCCTCGAGGGGGTCTTCTTGCGCTCGAGCGGGGTTTTCATAGTTTCAGTATTTCATGCCTCTGCAAAACTTTTGCAGATGTGTTTTCTGCGCTCGAGCTGGTTTCTTGTGCTCGAGCGGGTCGAGCTCGAGCGGGCTTGTTAGCACTCGAGCGGGTGGTACTTCTTGATGTAAGTTTTGGGAGGGAGAAATCTACGCTCGAGCGGACTGGTTTTCGCGCTCGAGCGGATGTACTTTATTCTTGTGTCTTGGCGCTCGAGCGGGCCTTATTGCGCTCGAGTGTACCTAGATTTTTGTTCTTGACGTTCGAGCGTTGTGTTCTCCACTCAAGCGGGAGATTTGTATATCAGTTGGCAGCTAGGCTATTTTAAATCACTTTTTACATTTCCTTTCTCTCTCTTACTTTCCCAAAACCGATTTTGGAGAGCTCCTCACTCTAAAACCTAACTTCTCTCTAGGGTTTGATCTAGTAGGAGTGTTTTCCTCACCTTGAGCCTTTGTAAAAAGTGTGTTGATCATTGAGGGCTACATTTTGATCCGAGAAATTTGGGATTTGGAGCACTTCCGAGTTTTGCTCTTCTTCTCCTTGAGTTCTACATTTGAGGTTGGGATTTCCTTGTTCTTTTTTCAATACTTCGTCTATAGATAGACATGTGGTAATTTTGTATTGCATGAAAATCATATCTACGTTGGATTTGTTTGAAATCATGAGAAGGAACCTAGGGTTAGGTGTTTGAACAAAATGGTTATGTTATCATTTATGGTTGTTTTGGGCTAATTGGAGTATATATTAGCATGTTATAGTTGATAGAGGAAAAAGCCCTAAATCATATATTGATTGATAAATTAAAATGGAGGATAGTGAACCTATATTGTAAATCTCTAGTGTTAATGTGGGTTGGGTGAAGGTGTTAACGCCTAAGGGGTTAACTTTGGCTTTGGAATGGTTTGAAATGAATGTAGTGGACTAATGTGAGTTATGACATTATTATCAATGGAAGTGGTTTTGTAAAACAAAAAGAATGAATTTAGTTTTGTGACAACAAAAGGGACGGAGTTGGTTTTGTGAAAACAGAAGGGAAATGGAACTTGTTTTGTGAAATGGGAAAGGTATTTTGAAATACGTATGAAAATTGGATTGTTGTTTCATGAGTGTTGAACACACACATGTGTGGGATTGTATCTTAAACTACCCTGTTAATGTTGTTGTCGGGTTTGTGGTCTCATAATAATTGAGTCTTTAATAGATGTACTAAATATTTGCATCTAGAGGTTTTGTCCTTGGTCATCAGTGGAGGATGACACGGTTGAGTTGAATAGTCGTGTATGCATCATACCATTATTGATTGAACATCGTATGTGATGAAGTGTTGAGATACATTATATATGTATGCTTACTCGGAAGGAGGTAGTTATGTGTTCATATACTTTAACACATTGCTTGTGTCTTGATGGTTTGTGTATATGTGTTATATATGTTGGTTATGCACTGTTGTATTTCGACTGGTGGTGTTATACCTTGCGCTAAGAATCAGAGGTACCGTGACCTTCCAGCTAGCGCCTGGAGAACTGACTGCATTGAGAATATAAGGCACCATACCCTTCCAGCTAGCACCTGGTAAACTGGCATGTTGTTGTGAGAGGTATATCTTTGGCTTACTACGCACATAGCTAGTAGAGCAAAGTTTTGTTGTTGATATTTCAGTGTGTTTGGGAATATCATGGATTGTGTTGATTACGGTCTTGGAGGGCCGAGTTGCCTCATTGGTTTATCTTATGCATGTTGGTGAGTTGTTATCTTTTTTTTATAACAGTGCATGTATAGATTTGATTGTATCGGGAAGAAGCCAAAATGTCATATTTGTCTTTTGGAAAGTGTGAAGGAAAACGGATATTTTTAAAGAAATATATATTTTGAAAAGACATATTTGTGTATGTTTGGGAAATGGAAGAGAGTAGTGGGCTCAGTGAAATTATTTCCTAAGGTATTGTTAATGTTATGAAAGGTTGGGAACGGGGATTAATGAAAGGAAAAGAAAATTGGTTCGCCTATGACGTTAATTGAAATGGTTGTTTTCAAGAAAAGCTCATACTTATGATATTTTGTATAAACTGTCACATTACTATTCTAGTATGAGATTGAGCATTCATGATCATAGCTATCTGTATGTTGTTATTGTTGAGGGCCATGTTGAGATCCCTACTGGACTATATGTTCATCCCACGTTGTTGAATCTTTTTTAGGTGTTTAGCAGGATGTGCTACAAGATTTGGATCTTCTTATTTGTTGGCCACGGGGCCTCTTTGTTGTAGGCGGAATGCCATATATGAAAAAGGGTTGCACCCTTCATTTGATTATTTAATGTTGTAAGCCTGAAGGCAACTCATTCAGAATACTTATGTTGTATTTAATTAGTATTCGAAAGAGAGAGTCGTTGTTCATTCCTTTTAGTTGAACATTTGGGTTTATTTCCGCATGTTATCTCTGAAATTGAATTAAGTTAATGGACTTGGTAATGACTTTGAGTAATTAAAAAGTGGGGCGTGACAACTTGGTATCAGAGCGAGCCGGGTTTGAATACTTTGGGCTCGTGGGAAGTGGTTTTTACCACAGTGGGTTTACTACGTATTGTGAGGACGTTGCATATAGGTATCATGAAAGTTAGGACTTATGTGTTGCATTTATGTGAGCATGGGATTCAGTCTCTTGGATAGTATTCATGGCCGGTGAACTTGCTTTGAGGTCCTTTCGGAAATACGCCTGATCAACGTGGTTTCTGGTAGGAATTCCTTGAGAGTTCCGGGATGAGTGGCTATCTTTGTGGACTTGATTCGATTATGTGTTTATATGTTTAGATGATTATATGCAATAGAGGTGTATACTTGAGACCAAGTGTGCTCGGAGAAGGCTAATGTGTCGTGCACTAAGCGGGGTATTTGCTTTTGTGCTTTATAGGATGTCTACACGAGGAGTTAGAGGACGGTTGAGTAGTAGGAGTGTCGGTAGGGGCACAGCAGCTCCTTTAGCACCTGCCGTTGCAGCATCGGCTGTCGGCGAGGACGTCGCACGTGAGATTGTGAGAGCGGTGCAAGACACCCTAGCTCGTACTGGGGGCGGCGGCGGGCATGCTCTCAAGCTTACTAAAGAGTTCTTCCGCTCCGACCCACCAGAGTTTGTGGAGGAGGCTAAACCGTTGGAGGCAGAGAGTTGGTTGGAGCAGATTACCAAGACTCCTGATATGCTCAGAGTCGAAGATGAGGAGTTGAGGGTTTCTTTGGTGACTTTTCAATTGAAAGGCGATGCGAGTTATTGGTGGAAGTATGCTAAGAATACCGTAGATAGCACGTGGGTTGCTTTTACCGAGGCCTTTTGGGCCAAGTATTTCCCTCATTCTGCTCGGGAAAGGTTGAGGGATCAGTTTTTGGAGTTGCGTCAGGATGATACTCCTGTGGCACAGTTTGAGATGCGGTTTACTAGTTTGTCGAGGTTTGCTCCAGAGTTGGTGGCAACAGAGGAGCGTCGTTGTTATGAGTTTGAAAGGCGGTTGTGTTTTGATATTCGGGAGAAGGTAGCTGGATCCTTTTGGAAGGATTATTATAATTTAGTCGAGGCAGCGGCCCATGTGGAGGCCATGGTTGTGAGTGATGGTCGGGATAGGGAAGAGATCATCTTGGTTAGTCTTTCAGTTCCTAAGCGCTCTAGGCTCAGTAAGGGGTGGAGGCGGAAACATGCTCAGTCAGGGGCAAATTCCTTTCCTTCACCTGGGGTTTCGGACTCTATTGTTGGGGGGTCCGGGGAGGTACAGGTTTCAGACCAGTCTCAGAGTAGGGGGTCTGGTGGGTGTTTTGTGTGTGGTCAGCTGGGCCATGGTAGACGTTTTTGTCCTTTACATGTAAATTCTTCAGGTGTTTCAAAACCCAGTCAGACTCAGTTGTACCCGTCCAGTCAAGGGCGCTATCGGTACCAGAAACGGTCAGGCCAGGCTTCGGGAGCCTCGCGAGGGGCGACTTATTAGTTAGTCCTTTGATATTACCCTGGAGGGGGGATTTTTGTGTTATTGACCGGTGATGTATTATATGGATCATATTGTTGTTGACCGGTGTACTGTTGGATGCTGAGGCACCATGTTTATGTATCGCTTATGTATGCATATTGTTGTTTGTTTAACCCTCATGTATTGGGGAGTATGTATGGAATCTCGAACCCTCTTTTTCTATTGAGAAGTTGTTAAAGGGGTCAATGATCCTGATGTTGTTGCTTGCTTGGTACCTGTACGTTGATTAGTGTTTTGGGCTTTGCTAGTTAATGAGTCCGTGGTGACCCCATCGGTTGTGTAGGGGTAGTGTTCGTATTGTGATTGGCTGTCAATTGTTGGTTATGGTTTATGAGTGGATTCTGGCAACGTTCTTGAAAGGAATAATAGGTTGTGTTCTAGGGCGACGAGAATAGCATCGGTCAAATTGTCCTTCGTGATT